TAAATTGCCGTGAACACAGTCACTATTGCCATTTTGAAATACTTTCATACGCAAAAGCTCAAAACGGTAACAATATATAAAATTGTCTTTTCAAGTCAGGTTTATCCATTCGTTTCGTATTTTTCACATTATTTTCTTGTTTTTTGTTGATTTAGAAAACTCGGTGTGCAGTCATCCAATCAGAAACCTGGGGAAAATTAGGAAATGCGCTAGGGTACTAGAACTTTGGGGGTCGCATTATTAGCCAATGAAATCAAAGATTTATTTATAGATGATCGTTTAAATCGAGATATTAGCCATCGCGTGAATCAGAATAATTTTTTCAAAAAGAATATTAGCACTAGAGGTAATGAGCAAATAAATCAAAAGAGCGACTTGTTTAAAAGTCAGTGCGACAAAGCCAAGAGATAATAGTCAAACTAACAACTGTTGGTATAGCGGAACAACTTAAATACAAAGAAAAAGTCAATGTTTATTACAAGAACAGTCACGCGTCAGCAACAGCAAAGGTAAATAACATTATTAAATGCAAAGCTGAAGAATGGTCAATACTACGGAAAAAAGTATCTTAAATAATATTTAATTTTAAACTTTGTTGTCTAGTTTATAGTGTATCCATCCACCTTCGTGGTAATGCACCTTTACCCAGGTAGTGAACAAATATACATATAACTAAGAAAATTTAAGTAATTACCTTCGCGGTAGTGCATCCACCTCTTCACCTTCGTGGTAGCTACCTTCATGGTAGTATGTCTTCGTGGTAGTGCAACTTTACTCGGGGTAGTGCATTTAAAAAATCACCTCCGTGGTAATGTAACTACCTTTCGTGGTAGTGCATCTACCTCTACCCAGGGTTGTCAATTGAACTCTACTGGACTTAGCCCAATACTGCGCCATTGACCACTGGACTTTAAAGTTCAGTTTAAAACCCTGTCTACCTTTTTGGTAAAAAAATAAAAAGTAATCACCTTCGTGGTAGTGCATCCACTTTCGTGGTAATGCACCTTTATCCGGGGTGTAATACATCTGAAATATCATAAAAAATAATAATCACCTTCGTGGTAGTGCATCCATCCACTTTCGTGGTAATGCACCTTTATCCGGGGTGTAATCTAAAATATCATCAAAAAATAATAATCACCTTCGTGGTAGTGCATCCATCCACCTTCGTGGTAATGCACCTTTATCCGGGGTGTAATACATCTAAAATATCATAAAAATAATAATTACCTTCGTGGTAGTGCATCCATCCACTCTCGTGGTAATGCACCTTTATCCGGGATGTAATATCAAAAAAGTAAAAAATTAATCACCTCCGTGGTAGTGCATTTGCCTCTCTACCTTCGTGGTAATGCATCGAAAATCCTTAACATTTCACTATACACTACATTACGGTGCATAACGAGCGGAATTGTAATTATGTAGTAGCAGATATCGTCATCCTTACAGACGTGTATACAGTGGCTCACAGAAGAAACGGAACACTGAAAAAAAAAACGGCGAAGTTCAAAGATAAGTCATTTTGATCCATCAAAATTTAAGTTATAAAGTTATTTTCAATCTATCTTCTAATTCTATTTTTTTTAGCGTTCCTTTTAATATGACCGGATTCGAATAAGCCTATTAAATAATGCTCTATTATTCTCACTACACTATATATCGAACGCACTGCCTTTATTCCAGTGTTGTCACGGGACAATCTTGGACATTTTTGACAAAAAAAAATCAAATTTACTCAAAATTTTATTAAATTAACCTGTTTGGACACACTAATTAAAAATGTTTAGAATTTCTCGTTGTATATAATCATATATTTTTTATTTAATTTTTTAATAGTACAAGAGTTTGGACATTCGGACAGTCAAAAAAGTGCTTGGACATCCAAAATGTACAACACTGCTTTATTCCATACGATAATTCCAAGCATTTTTTATCTCCCAATGCCTCGAATTTCGCAAACCCGTATATACACTCTCCGACAAGAAGGATAGAAATCGCAGCATCCGAGCAAGTGGGCTTAGCTTCCGTCCATCGAATATACAAACAGTAAGAAGAAACTGAAGTTTCAATGACAAGCCAAAATCCGGTCGTCCACGGATTCTTTCGGAACGCTATACGACGAATACATTCCGGAAAATGCACCACTGCCGTTCAAGTCCAACGCGAGCTTCAAACTGAGCTGGGAGTTTCCTTGTCAGTAGAGAGCATACGACATATGTTCCGGAAAGATGGCTTATTCGCAAGAATTAAGCGAAAAAGCCTCTACTCAAAAAAGACGCACCGAAAACATAATTTCTTGAGTGAAAAAATACCGAAATTGGACGGCCTGCGATTGGCGACGAATCATTTAATCCGACGAAAGCAAATTCCGATAATTCGGGTCGGACGGGCGAAAATATTTCTGGGTGGACCTTTAAAAGATCAGCATATCACGCCAACAGTGAAACTTGGCGGCGGCACGATTATGGTTTGGAACTGCTTGACGGCAGACGGAGTCGACGAACTCCGAAAAAATGAATGCTGAAGTTTACATAGATAGCTTTTAGGCAGTTTGGGAGAAAATGCTCGAGGACAATGAAATCATATTTCAGCAAGACAACATCCGGAAAAGCAAAGCAATGGTTTCTTTATAATGATATTACTCTATTGACTGGCTGTCCCAGTCCCCCGACTTGAACACCTAGAGAACGAAGTCGAGGAAACTCGGTCAATCCAGAATATATTAAAACTTAGTAGTATAGGTTAAAATAATAACATACTTGTGAGATGGATCCTCTTCAACCGGATTTCTGGTAAGACCTCATTACAATAAGCATTGCACCAACCATGTTTGCAATGATTCACAATACCATTTCGGTTCCTGAATGTGTAGATTTCCTCAACCAATATTCCTAGTTCTCCTCCAGCTTTGATTAACGTGAAAAATCCTTAATATAGAATGACCTCGAAAAGTAGTAGGTTGTTGATCCGACGCACGATAGGTTTCTTTAGGTCTGAATGCAACATCTGGTGCTCTGATTTCTTTACCGAACTTGAAACCTCTTTGTGAAGAAGTAACGATGTTGTTGAGTCCAGATAGTCCAATTGCCGAGTCGACCCGCTATTTCTGCAACGAAGAATAGGCGTTTGTGGTATTGGAATAAGTTTTCCCCTTGAATCAAGTTGATTGGAGTTTCGTCGTTGTTTGTCTTCAGCCAGTCATTAATTTCTTCAAATTGCTTGATGAAAGTCTCGCGCTGCTATTTGCGTAGCAAGAAAAAACTTACGGGATTCAAGGTGAAGTAATTCATCACTTATTCATATATAACTAATATTTATGAGGTTCGCGGATATTGTTGAATCTGGTTGTCGAACGGTCGTCCTTAGTAGGATAAGATACCGGTTGTTGAATGGGCAACTCCTGATCAGGGTCACTAGTAGACCACCTGAAAAGCTGACCTCCTGTTCGTCAAGAGCACTCGGTAGGGGCCAGATACTCGGTTATTGCTGAACGGGTAACTCAGTAAGCCGCCAGATTCAAAAAGCTTATTATTTTTATTAACTCTGAAAGCTTATTTTATTATTATTATTATTATTATTATTATTATTATTATTATTATTATTATTATTATTATTATTATTATTATTATTA